ACTTAATTTGATGAAGTCCTGAAAAGAAACAATAATCATAGGATTGCATGCATACATGACAGACAAACTATAAAGATGTAGTGGTTGGGGTATAGCGGACACACAGAGACAAAGATACTTGCAAATTCTCTGCCTCTAGAACCTCGCATAGGTTTCGGCGGAGCTCCCGCAATTGGTGGGGCAAACCTCCCACAAAGACCTCGACACGAATTACGGGTTGCAATCCGGCCTACCTCCTTCCTCTCCGAACCAAATAGACTAGACTTAGAGTAATAAGGGCAAAGGAAGATGTCATTAAGTCTCTCAGATACAAGGAGGGTGCTCTCAGACTCGCATGAGAGGGCCTTGATACCTTCTCTCATGAGGGTCCCGCAATGGTGGTCAAAACGTAAAGACCAAAGTCAAATTTGTGGTATGAAAGAAGTAGTGACACCTCATAAAACTTGAAAGTTCTAGTAGCTTCCCAATCACGCGCCACCCACCATCCAACTCACAGTATGCTGATCACTCTGATAGAATTGCAGCTATGCACCTTTAAAGGGCTCTGTTGAATAGAGCACACCCCCTGTGCTCAAATCGAATATATTACTCGTTACTCCTCTCCTCTTCTGTTCTCTGAGAGTCGACTGTGTCGCTCCGTGACCTTACCGCTGCCTCATTCTTGCTTCACCTCTACTTCTCCGCTCCGCCGCTCAGCCCGCCACATCCCCTGCGTACTTGCAACTTCACTGCCACCTACGATCTCGCCGCCTTCTCTTACAAGCCCCTCTTCACTTACACTCTCCCCCGACACTCTCCTATCACACCCTCTAACTGCGCAGTCGCGGAGACTGTAAGCCTGCTGCGCAGCCTCGGTCCCTTCATTTCTCATTGCCACTGCGTTCACCAATGACCTCACCCCGTGCAGCGCTCCTTCCGATGGATACTCCTACATCTCACAACGTCCCATCTTCTCCTGCGATCTCGCCACTCCGTCAGCCACTCCCCGCAGACACTTCGCCTGCCATTCCTTGCTGCAAAACTCGGTGCTCTTCAAATGAATTTTTCTCCCTGCGGTCGTTCCGGTTACCTCGGCTTCATGAAGTCCTATGAAGAAGGCAGTGTGACATGATCAGTGCGGACCTATATCCTCACAGAAAGTCATCGATACTGGCCCTTTCTTCTACTGCAATGACTTCTATTGCGGCTCCACGAAGATAAGTCCCTCTACTCGCTCTTCTACGGCGGTGCCTCTCTTCTTCTTTTTTAAGTCTTAGCGAGTGTAGCTTCGGACATCTTGTTTCCCAGCGATGCCCCTGATGATGATTGGTATATCGGCGCCTTTCAAAACATGTCGGGCTTTTTGCCGATAAGCTTCCTTCGTGTGACCATCTGGTCGCTTTGATGGGAGGTTCCTGTGCTTCACGATGACTGTTAATTATTACTATCGCTCGGGCTTTCAAGACTTCTGTGTGCACTCGCTGGCTCGTTTGTACTCTTGCCTTCCATGTCTCACTTTCTGCTCTCTCCTCCTATCTTGCCTTTGTCTCTTAATACTGAAGTGGTGAATGTTGCTTCTGCCCCCTTCCCCTCTACGTGATTTCTTTTTTGCGTCTTCTCTTTCTGTGCATCCGGGTTTCTGCTCAAATCCCCCCACAATGGAATGGCTTAATATCTTTCTATGGGTAATGGATGCTCTTATCTTTTGGCTTCGCGTGCTCAGAATTTTTGCTGAAGTATCTTATGGGACGCTTCGTTATGCTATTGCGAGGTAAAAAAGAGAAGACGAGAACAGGCGCTCTAGGAACACCAGACGATATCCCCCTTACTAATCTTCGAGTCCTTTCCTTTCCTTACATTGTTTCAACCTGAGTCGTGCAACGCTAGTTGCCATGCTCTGAACCCCACGCCAACTGCCCAACAACATTCACAGAAGGATGAGGCTGGCGATATGGACCAGTGCAGTGTATGCATGGAGATATGTTCTCCTTCTTGCCCTTGCCACCACCTCCCTCTCCCCCTGCGGGAAGTAGAAAAACATTATTCACACAGAAGGTAGGGGTGCTGATGCTGTGCATTTCTCCTTGATCCCCCCCCCCCCCTCTCCCAAAGGGGGTGACCCCTAACATTATTCAATGATTATTGTGTCTATCTGATTCCGTCAGGACCTGAAGTCATAATCTGTGTACTAACAGGTACACTCGTGTACGTCCCGTCACATGGACTGGATATTTCTCATTTGCTTTCTGTCTCCTGCAAGTGATTAGAGAAGAACCAGAAAAAAGAGGTGTAGGAAATGCAGACACACACACACACACACACAC